GTCTCGTATTTATCAGCTACTGCATGCTTCGGCAGATATCACACACAGATAAAGCCCATCTGATATGCTCAAAACATGCGCTCCCTCCAACATAATCTAAGGAGGTATATATAACTCAGAAAGGTTATCTTTAAACAAAACTGCCCAATTATCGAGGATTTTCATTGTTCAAAGTCTAAATAATTTCGCGCCATTTTGGCCGTCTTTGTTCAATCCCCGCTTCTGGCCGTTGGTNGTTGGTTGATCAGTATAGTAAATTTTCTCATTTTTTGCATCAATTCTCAAAATCTCTATGTCCAGAGACCACAACAGTAGATATACGTAATTAGGTGGGTAGACGCTGTAAATCTTATTTCCTTTTTGTGTATCAAGCACACGTTCCTTGTTTGTCATCTGTGTTCTCACTCTAGTAGCCCGGAGGCCATTACTGAGGATAGAGTGAATTCTGTGTTGTGATTGTGCTTTCGGGTCTAGACGACTTCTGTATTCATTGAGGTACGTGCTACGCGGTGTTCGGACCTACCTCCCATCTGTGTATGCTCCCGCTCTGTGATATAGCGCACATCGCCTATGAGCGTACAATCTGTATTCTCGACCGCGCTATTGTGAGTGTCACTTTTATTGTGTTGTTCTGCACTGCGTGTTATTGTGTCGTGTGTTTTCATGAGCGATATTGAACGACACAAATGGGGCACTTTCACCAATGCGTGACCACAGCCACCTAATATACTTCGCTTATCTCGCAGAACGCTAGCAACGCAGTGCAGACAGCGGTGTTCGAACATCGATATTCTGTGTCCCCCCCCCCCCACACACACACACCTAAAGCCCAAGTCTTTGCAACACAAAGTAGCACTAACCGAACTGTTATAGCATACACTCAAACATTTCCGATCAGCCAGGTGTCGTGGCGAGGTCAGTCAAGCCATCTGTATACGCGCCGGAGATTCGCCAAGCAGGAATGGTGTGGCTGTACCCGACACCAAGTTTAAAACAGGCCTAATGCTTACTTGTACCATTTTGATGTGGTACACACAACTGATGTACTACCATGATGACAGGAAGTTTTCCGGCGATTTTATTTAAACTAATTCCTCTGTAGATTCCGTAAGCTCTATGACTTTTCTCTTAGATCGGTAGGAAAAACGATTTATATCATTCTTTAGGAACTTCTTCGCTCTCCTATACTTTACAAGAGTTCTGTCTAGTAGAATTCGAAAGAAAGATGAAGTGCTTGGAGAAAACGCTTCTATCGGGATTTAATGTGGTATGCAAGTAGCCTAACTTATAGGTGATGTGCACATGTGAAAGCGTTAGAATGGTCGGGTGAAACCTGATCAAAGATCTTGAATGTCGCCCGAGGGTTTATAAACTTAAGATTGCCCCCGAACCGCTTTGATTCAGTCAATGCAGGTGGTGTCTTCTTTCACATCGATAGTCGTTGTGCAGTACGATCAATGCAGTGTTTCACCAATGAATCTGAACTGGTGAACAGCTACCTTCGCACATCATCATCGTACAGCGAAATACAGTGAAGAGAACTTCCCTGACTGTGGCCAAACTCGCAATGTACACAGGGTCAGTGGTATGATGTAAGGTGGACATGAATGGATTGGGCATATTTTGAGGGAGGGGGAGATGAACCTTTATGGTCAACACACAGAGTACACAATCGAACTGCGCATAAAGTAGCGATATGATTATGGACTATCGAAAACAAATGCTGTTCGATTCACAAGGATTCGTTATTCACGTTATTTATTAGGACAGCCGTAGTTCGACCTGTTGATAGGTGATTGTTGTAAAGCAAGCCTAAATGGCTCAAGTGTTAGCTCATGCTTTGAATCGCTCATAGTTTTTAAAAAGCCTTTTGTATCACAGATGATTTGTGAGACAAACAGGATGTTAAAGGAATGGTATGGTCACAAAAAAATATGAATGACAGGAACTGATGTGATCCCTTTTAGTTTAGGTTCGGTGGCGAGTTAGTTCTATACGACAAAAATTGTAACTTGTACCATCATAGTAATGGTTGACTCACTTGCAGATCGCTCAATGTTCGTTGAAAAGCTTTGCGCGACTTCGCGTAACTGCGAGTAGTCTCAAACACAAATTCTGCTCCGGCCTGAGAAATGTCTGCTATCAGAAGACGTTCTTGGGGCAATTCATTCATTAGCAAAAAGAAACCGCGGTTCTCCTCTCCCAAAAGTTGGGCAGCTGGTAGACGGACATTCTCAAAAAACAATTCCGCCGTATCCTGTGCCTACAATAATGGACATTAGAGTAACAGAAAATTCAATTGGGAAACATAATTGTAAGTTTGGTCGCGGTTCCTGCGTAATGAATACTAAATTCAAAATCGAGAGGATATTAGCAACACTATATACCGGTGTTCACTCGTATGAACATACACAGGTCAGTAACCACAATAAAACATTTATATATTCACAATACATTATGAACAGTAACAATTATACGGATGAGCAGCAACAACAGGAGAAAATTATCGCATATCCAGGTACATAAAAACGACCTACAGAACACTGACAAAATAAAAACAGAACATAATTGCAAACTGAAAATGTGAGTGGGGATTCTTATTTGATCCAGAGATAATGACTTCCAAGAAACGACAACAAGAATGCCACTGCTGTCGTTTCGCTGCCATGTCCTTCAATGTCTCCAACCAAACAGTTGTGGAGTCTTTCGGACCCCAACCTGGAAGGCGAAAGACATCTACTGTAACTAAAAGCTCTGTGCATTTCTTCATGCTTCCTCTCCACGTCATCTGTTGAATTCCATGTGGTTTCCTCCAGCCCGGATTAGCTACAGCGAATAAAGCGCGGTGCGGCAGACGATGGCGGGGCATACGTAATACGTGCCCTAGCCAGCGAAGTCTACTAATCTGAATTCGGTGTGCTAGCAGGTTCACACCTGATAGACTCCCAAAAACACGACGGTTTACCTCCACATTACGAACCAGTTCGCTCCATCTAACGTGAGCTAAACTGCGTAAACTCCGGTCGATGGATATTCTCTACTAACAAATTCAAGGTCTAACAACTATAACGCTGAACTGAACGAACGCTAGCACAATATACACAACCTTTCAACTTCAGTGAAACGTCGCGTCTACGCCGCATACTACGCCACAACATAATGCCAAAGAAGAAACATTGAAAAAGTAGTGAAAGATAGGTTAGAAAATATCCGAGTAGGAGCGGAAACAGCTATCAATCTGAATTCAAAACTTGCTTGAATTTAAACCAGTACATGATGTAACACTGATCGCGTCGGAAGAATGAGGTAGCAGTCGCACTGTAAACCGACTGTTTCCAAATCTTTCTCACATAATTTCACCTACCAACCTCTCACCTTGACACAAACAAGCACACACAATGACGTACTTTGAGGCCCATCTTTATTAGCTTGCGGCCCTTGGTAAATCCAGATGTACCAGCATCGACCAGGAACAGACTGATGCCATGAGCCGGTGACTTTGCTTGTTGATTTGTGATAGCAACCACGATCACCATATCACACATATAACCGTTGGTGATAAATACCTTTGACCCATTTAGAACCCAGTCGGTTCCCTCGCGTTTGGCATTGGTTCGGATACCTTGGAGGTCGCTAAATCGAGGGAGAAAATTACCCAAGAAGAAATGACTAGTCTAGCACCTTCAAAAATTTTCAATTTTGGTTATCCATAAAGGATGAAATGTTCTTCAAACGGTAAACCAATTTAACGACAAATTGAACTACCGCAAATCCAGTAAACATTAGGGGTGAAAATGTATTTCATAAAACGGGGGAGGAAAACGCTGCATGAACAACTTTGCGGTGAATCAATAGTTAATCAGATGAACGTGATAGTTACAACCACCCATTGATCGATTTAAGAAACGAAACGCCCAATGGTGACAAAAGTCTAGTTGATGAGGACGAACTAGGCACCAAAGACGGGAAAATAGTGGTTCAATGGTGGGATAGTGATGGCAAACTTGAAATTTTGGACCATTCGGTAATAGTGAAGGTAAACGTTTTTTGGACACAATACACGTCGGTAGGCTCTTAACGGTATGAGGTAAACATGCCTGTTGTCCTATACGCATCAGAGTACGCAGGTAAACTGTGGCTACTTTGAGCCGGCATCGAGGACGAAGAGCCTTAACTGGTGAAGCATTCTGTGAAAATTGGATACTATTTGAGGCAGGATGCGAGAGAATAGAGGTAGTTATTACATCTGATGCACAACTGTTAGCACGGTCGTGTGAAGATCCTAATGGCACTTCAAATGTTTGAGGGGGGCTGAATGTGGGGCGGAGGAAAAATTGGGAAATAGGAATAGGTGCATGGTGCGGAACGTTTTTCTCTAGGAAAAGAAAACTATAAGAGTGAATATTTGGACAATTTGGTTGGTTTTGGATGTGCTTTTGCGTTATGGAAGTAAACAAAAGGGATGCGTATCAAAGTTTTGTACAAAAAGAACGATCGCCGAATGTGTAACCGAAGAACAAAAATATAGGGTCATTAACTTCACAATGGTAAACTTCATTTAATAAACTTTAGAAATCCAACGTATGAAGCTCATCGCCAGCGATTCGCGTTTGTTAACCTATTCTGGTAATGCAACGAAAGTAGCGCGGAGCCAAGGGACTTTATATATTTTCAACCTTAACGCGAATGGGTAGGCTCTTGCAGTCATACAGTATCACGGCGCAGTGGGAGGTATTATCAACTCCGCTTCTCAAAGAAAGGCCGAGATTTAGCGAATGCCACAATGGCTTTGTGGATGCGAGCTGATATCACTTCTGTAAATCCTCTTGGGCGAAAGCAATCTCAGGGGAAACAAAGTGATCAAGAAAATTTGATCGATTTCTCATGAGTATGAATGTGGGTATGGCTCCTTGTCCGTTTTTGTTACCAAACTTTGCGATTTGATAAAGGGACAGATAATTTTAGTTTTCATGGGATATTTTCAGCGTCTTGATAGGTCGCAGGTTGTGGTGATGTCGTCTATGTATTCCAAACCACGAAGTCGATCGCCTATGAATATACAACACCAGAAATTTGTTAGTTTTCTAAAACAATCCTTAAAATTTCGTCCAGTGCGAAGTTGAACAGGAAGGGTAACTCGGGACAGATGCATGGGACTCCATTTGCATATTGTTATTATATTTCACACACTTTTGAGCCCAGACTGTGTACTGTATAAATCACCGTACAATTGGCTTTACAACAAGAAAATATTTCGTGATTTGCTCGTGAGCGCGGTGCTGCTAGGTTACCGAGATCAAAGTACATGAATCTTCTTGAGGAATTCACCCCAAGAAGCCAGGAGTGGACAAAGACATTGATGTGACCGGATATTTCCGAAAAAGACGATTTTGAAAATAAATATGTGTCTTCGTATGAGTAAAGCGTGAAAAGATTACGCGCCTTGGCTGATTTAATGTGGGTTTGATCCCAGCTTTCAGAAAGGCTTTGAACAGTACGTGCAAATGAACAGATATCCAAGCTTCTTTGGAAAGGTATATGGCATTGAAAATTCCTATTTTGGCTTTTATGTTGGTTTGTTCCTCATCTAACAAGGACAAACATAGTCCAGTAAATATTTCCGGTACTAAAATTCGAAAGACCAAATCAGATCCTGATTCATGGTAAGGTTGCATTCAAGAATGCTGCAACTTTCTTATGACAAGCGATGTTATCTCCAAACAGTAAAAGTGTCCTTGAGAAAGCATTTTGAGTTTGATATCAGACAGTAAACTTTGGAATGACGAAGAAGTAATCCATGCGTTCTGGGAAGAATTACAATGGTACGGCGGGCATTTTTCATCAACACTGCGGGGTCCGTGGACTTAGAAATTTAGCAATCGCCAGCATTAACTTCTTGCCTGTCAGAACAAAAATGTGACATTTTGCTTTGAATTGGGTCCAAAAACCGCTTGCCCTTTGAGACTTAATTCTCTTTCTGCAAGCTGCTTGTAATACGAAGCTTTTTGAGCAGCATTGAAGGTATCACAATTGGAATAAACTGTGATAACTAAAATCGGAAGTTATTCACTGCCCTATGAGACACCGTCAAACATTGCCCAAGAACCGATAAATTAATTAACATGAATAGTTGCCTCTCTTTTACTTAGTAAGATTGAGTACCACATCCATTTAACCAAGAGCGAAAGCAATCTTTTGAGGCCATGATGCATTTTTCTGATAGTTTACTACTGTCACCATTATGGGAAACTCGTCGTTCTTCCCCCGCATAGAGGTAAATCATTCAAAGGTCACCTCATTGACTGAGCTTAACTTTTCATTGGTCTTCAGGCGGTATCTTTCCTGCGATGCACCAGCGTTGGACAATTGTTCCGTGATCGTTGGACTCGATGACACTGTAAATAACCTTCTTGAAATGCGAACTGATTTTTCTACAGAAGTCTGAGTCCCACCTGGTTTATTCAGCATTTAAAAAAAAATTTGTTCTTATAGACACTTCCACACCAAATGATAGCATTTTGGACTGCTAACATTTGTCGTTGTCACAAGAGTTATCCAAGCAGTAAATCATGTCATGTTTACGACTCATAAGGAGAAACGTCACCGGTAGAATGCAACATTGTATGCTCATTGATCAAAGGAGAGACCGGATATCGGACCGCATGAATGAGTAACCAGTGCGACGTGCTGAAGAGGCACCCATACATAGTAGAGACACACACTACTACGCATACGGTTGATTCACTTTCAGTTTAAATAAGCATTGCCGACACATTTCGTGTACCGCTTTTGGGAAAGGGATTTTGGCTGCCATTTGGACCAACACCAGAGTAAACACAAGAAAACAGCATCGACGAGAAAATTGCGAAGTTCAATGGATTCATGTTCCAAGGAAATTCGGCTGGGTTGAAACTCAGTGGAGCAGGTTGAAGTCATCGGTATGACAAGCTGCTCTACACGCGTTAGGCACTAGACCACGTCGTCTGAAGGACTGGATATCCAGTCACACCATCCATTTAGCTAATGCGGCCAGAGAAGCTCGTCTAGCTCAATCCTCTGCTTATCGCGATCTCAGGCGACAAGCAACACGATCAGCCAGAAATGACAGATGCAACTACTGGAACGAAATGGCTACTAAAATGGAGACAGCAGCTAACCTGGGTAACACGGCGACCTTCTTCCGTCTTATTCGAGCAGCATCGAGCAAGAATTAGGTCACCCACCGTTTCCTGCGCAGGGCTTTCGGTGAGCTCATCTCCAATGGACAGGGGAAAAATGTCTCGGTGGGTGAAACGCTATAGTCTTCTTCTCAACCGCCGTCAAATCCAACTACCGTGTGCGTCCTCCTCGGCATCTTCTCCATACGAAGTTAACTGCGCTCCGCCATCAATAGAAGAAGTCTCAGATATCATCAGCCATCTCAAATCACGGACATCCCCTGGTGAGGACAGGATACCCTCTGAAATCTGCGCGAAGTGTTCTTCAGCTATTTTGAACCCTGTCCATAGCTTGCTATGTACAATCTGGGAAACCGAAATTTGTCCAATTGACT